TGAAGCGAGTTCCCACACCCTCTACAGAAAAGAATGTACCTCTGAAAGATCAAATTAAAACTGAAGAGGTGACAAATCTTACAATGATGCAGTTTTCATGTCCTTGTGTTCTTTTTTAATTGAAGTTATTTTATTGCACCAAATAGAGATAACAGAACTTCCTTAGGCTTGGTTCACACTAGCCAACTCCAAAGTCATGTGTTTCCTGCAGGGGTTAATTGCCTCAAGGCAAACAAGGCACCCGCCTTGGGTGACATTCTTCAGGGGGGCCAGCATTGCCCCCAGGCAGAATGGGCCAGTGCCATCTACTGTGCTCAGGCAGGAGCGGTGGGCTCGGCTGTGTTTGGGCGGGGGGGCTCATGCATGCTTGGTCGAGGAGCGGGCTCGACTGTGCTCAGGCAGGGGATGGCTCGGCTGTGCTCGGGTGCAGGAATGTAGATAAGGGGGGGTTTTGGAGGTCTGAACCCCCCCCAGAGCACCCTGCCTGGAGCCGTGTGGCTCAGCCTTGCCAGCAGGCAGCCTGTGCATCGGAGCCAGGTGACATCCACCACCGCGCCACTGCGCTGTGTTGTCACTGTCAGCGCTATTGGTGGCAGGGAAAGCCCATAATTGGTTGCTAGGACATCAGTGGTCCTAACAACCAATCAGGTGCTTGCCCTGCCCCCAGGCTGCGACATTCAGAGGAGGAGGAGGGCAGCAGGGACAGGACTTTCTTCTTCCAGCTCATGTAGCTGCCTGGAGGAATGAGATAGAATGGACCCTGTGGTAAGGGGGGTTAGGGGAATCCTGATGTAATGGCAGGGGGAACATTGGAGGCCCAAATTAAAGAGAATGGGCTCTAGGGACCCTGATGTAAAGTGGGAGACACTGAATACCATGATGTATAGGGGGACCCTGATGAATTGGGGGGACTTTTGGGACCCTGATGCAAGGGAAGGGGGGAACTCTGGGAACCCTTATTTAAGGAGGGAGATCTGGGTCTCTGGGGGACCCTGATGTATGGGGAGGTCTATGGGTGGGGGGACTCTGGAGACCATGATGTAAAGGTGGACCCTGATGTATTGGGGGGACTCTTGGGACCCTGATGTAAGCGATAGGGACCCTGATGTAAGGAGGGGGGCTCTGGGGGACCATAATGTAAAGGACTGACCCTGATGTATTGCGGGGGGGGGGGGGGGGGATTTTGGGTTCCTGATGTAAGAAAGGAGGACTCTGGGAAACCTAATTTAAGGAGGGAGCTCTGGGGGACCCTGATATAAGGGGATGGGCTATGGGGACCATGATGCACATAAGGTGGGGGGGCTTTGGAGACCATAATTTAAAGAGGGATCCTGATTTATTGGGGGGGAATTTGGGGACCCTGATGCAAGGGGAGGGGTTGTGGGGGCCCTCTTCTGCATCCTGTCCGAAGTCTCTGACTGTCTCCTGTATGCTGTCTGCAGTCTCTGACCGTATCGTAGGGTGGAGCTCTAATAGGAAGAGGTGGAGCCTAAAGTGGAAGGGGCTGAGTTTACAGATGAAGGGGTGGATCCTAAAAAGGAAGGGGTGGGACAAATTTAGATGGGGGGGGGAACGATTTTAGTGTTGCCTAGGGCAGCACGAAGCCAAAATACACCACTGGTTTCCTGTGTGGCTTTGGAGTATGACTTATAATGCAACTTTGATCCAACTTTATACTCTTTGGATCTAAGTCACACCAAAAGTCGCACCAAAGTAGTGCAGGCACCTTTTCTAAGTTGCATCAATTTGAACGGAATGAGAATGGGCTGCGACTTGTCATGTGACTTTGATGTACAAGTGTGAAGGAAGCCTTAAAGCAAAATTTCACTCTTTCAATCAGCATTGACTAGCATTAGTAAATAGATTGAAAGTTATAATAAATTAGTTTTCAACTATTTAGTTTTTTTTTTAACATTCTTCAGTTACTTCAATTACGTGTGTCCAGGTCTAGGCAAATGATGTCATACATCCCAGGAGTCTTCAGGAGGGGAGGAAGGGTTTTCTCAGCTAAGCACACCCTCATGCATGCCTGAGCTAAGGACAGATGGATTCCAGAAAATAAATGCTACATGAATTATCTGCCCTTACTCAAGATGGCCATGACCAGAAATGCTAGGGAGTGTTTTTTTAAAGTGATTTCTAAGCAAAATAAAGCAAGGAGACATGGATGGGTGGGTGAGTTTGCTTTGAACATTAAAAATGAATTAAATAGTATTTTTGGTTTGTGGTGCTGAGAATCAGCGTAGTTCCATTTTAAGTAGATATTGCATGAAATGGCAAGGTTTTCTTATTAATTAGCTTCCCACCCAGCAAATTAAAAAAGTTTAAAGAGACCTTGTCATGGACTTACAAATTTTAGATAAAAGCACATAAAAATTAAATATTTTAAAAGCTTACTTATAGTATGTTTTCCATTAACAATTTTTAATCACTTACAAAAATACCAAAAAAAAGAACATAATTAGGACTTTACTGGTACAGTATAGGACAAACTCGCATTTGTACGTTTACACATTTATTAGAATACATAAGTGACACTGTTTAAAAACAATACATGGCTAACCAACCCAGGTACTATCGGCATTGTCTTCTATAGCTCCAAAGGTCGACGCGTTTCGCTTGTTAGCTTCTTCAGGACCATAAAAATTGGAGGCAAAGAGATCAATTGCCTTGGCTAGAAGAATATACATATATACACATACATAAATCATTAATCACTCAAAATAAATTCCACAAAAACATAAACCTTAAAAAACTGTTCTCCGCAAACTCACATATCGATATAGACGGAGATGTAGAGTATCAGCACCCAGGACATTCAGGATGAATGATGAATGTGGATGCTCACTCAAGACTACTATGTTGACTCCCTGCAGGGGTTCCTGGAAAGGTATTTCAAGGGTTCCTCTGGGTTGAAAGGTTGAGAAAAGCTGGTCTACACAGGGAAGACTTTTGTTGAAATTAATGATCATGGACAGGGTCAGTTTAAGAAAAAAAAACAATAAAACACGGGAAGAAAAAGTAACAAATACTCAACCTATACCCGTACTTCTAGTGTGCTCAACTAGGGAAAGTTAAAGTACCCGAATTCCACAAGAATTTATTCCTGAACTATGCACCCCAAATGGCACTAAAAGAGCATGTAGAGTAGAGAAACACACCTATGCTATAGCACACCACAAGGCATGGATGTGAATAATAATCTGCATTGTGGTGCAAAACTTCCTCAAAAATAGCACAAGTTCATTTATTTTTGTTTTTGTTGACAGTCCAAAGTAAATGGGTTGCTTTCAGGGGCGGACTGACAACTCATGGGACCCCGGGCAATAGGGGATCATGGGGCCCCTGTGTCCTTGCCCAAACTCAAAAAAGTCTATGAAAAAGGTACCAGGGGCATCTCATGGGGCCTGCATAAAAGTGGCCACCCGCCCAAGTCTATAACTGGCTTATGAAGCAAGGACACATAAACAGGCATCACATAGTGAAAAAAGAGGGAGAGAACAATGTTCTTGGACAACTTGCCAGCCAGCTTGCTAACAACCGAATTAACCTGTCTAACAGTATGCGTTTATAACAGGGGTTTAGTTAGCACACATTTGCAAATACATACGTAAGCCACAGAGCCACGACACGGCACCCTGATCATCTGTGGTCCTAACTCTAAAATTTGTGAGTCCCCATAGTAGAGGCACATGCATTTAATGGATAGATCAAGGGCAGGTGGACCTGAGGGAGCCACCCCTCTTAAAGGCAAAGGAGCGCACTGGACCCCAGCATGTAGCACAATGGCAACCAGGGTCCTATTAGTGCACCCACGTACCAAAAAATCAAACATGCATAAAAGTGGCCACCCGCCCAAGTCTATAACTGGCTTATGAAGCAAGGACACATAAACAGGCATCACATAGTGAAAAAAGAGGGAGAGAACAATGTTCTTGGACAACTTGCCAGCCAGCTTGCTAACAACCGAATTAACCTGTCTAACAGTATGCGTTTATAACAGGGGTTTAGTTAGCACACATTTGCAAATACATACGTAAGCCACAGAGCCACGACACGGCACCCTGATCATCTGTGGTCCTAACTCTAAATTTGTGAGTCCCCCATAGTAGAGGCACATGCATTTAATGGATAGATCAAGGGCAGGTGGACCTGAGGGAGCCACCCCTCTTAAAGGCAAAGGAGCGCACTGGACCCCAGCATGTAGCACAATGGCAACCAGGGTCCTATAGTGCACCCACGTACCAAAAAATCAAACAAACATGCATAAAAGTGGCCACCCGCCCAAGTCTATAACTGGCTTATGAAGCAAGGACACATAAACAGGCATCAGTAGGGGGCATCTCATGGGGCCCCCTACTGACCCCGGGCCCTCGGGCAGTGCCCGAGTTTCTAAATGGTCAGCCTGCCCCTGGTTGCTTTAACCACTTGTCCTCCTGATGATTGACCCCCTTCATGACCAGGCCATGTTTTGCGTTACAGCGCTATGTTAATTTAACTGACAAATGCACGGTCGTGCAATGCTGCACCCAAATGAAATTTACATCCTTTAGTTCCCACAAATAGAGCTTTCTTTCGGTGGTAATTGATCATCTGTAAGTTTTTTATTTTTTGCGCTATAAGCAAAAAAAGACCAACAATTTTGAGAAAAAAACAATATTTTTGCTATTGAACATTTCCAGTAAAAAAATTTTAAAAATCTAATTTCGTCATAAATTTAGGCCAAAATGTATTCTGCGACATGTCTTTGCTAAAAAAAATCCCAATACATGTAAATTAATTGGTTTGCGTGAAAGTTATAGTATTTACAAATGGCGGTATATATAATGGGTTTTTTTTGTCTACTAGTAATGGCGGAAATCAGCGACTTTTAGCGGGACTGCAGCGGACATTCTGACACTGAGGGGGAACTAACTTGGTGTCACTGACACCCCAGTGACACCAATACAGTGATCAGTGCTAAAAAAAAAAAAAAGCACTGACACTGTACTAATGACACTGGGCATGAAGGGGTTAATGTAAGGAGCGATCAAAGGGTTAACTGTGTGCTGGGAGTGTTTTTACTAAGGGGCAGGGGTTGTGTTCTTCCCTGTAAGCACACTGATTCGGATGGCTGTACTGTGCACAGCCATCCCAAGCAGTGTGCTCAAGCTGACAGGGAGGAAGATTGTTTGTAAACAAAACAATCTTCCTCCCCATTTGAGATGCTCGGTAATCGCCAGCCACCGGTGGGTAATTACCAGCCGGGACCCAGTGATTGACATCCATGGCTGTGAATAGCATCGCGGGTATGGTGCGGGTAAGGGTGCACACACGGCTTGTGCGCACCCCCTACCCAGAAATGCAGAATGACGTATATATATGTGATCCTGCTAACAGGTTCTGCCCTGTAGCAGTATATCTTGACGTAATGCACCTCATTGCCCAAAACGCACGTGTTGACGCATGTGCATTAATGCACACACAAGTGTGAACGGGTCCTAAGGCCCACTCATTTTGCAAATATAGAATGCTTTGACAAGATGTAGTGTCAACAGAACAAAAGCATTTTTTGTGATCAAGCGCTTCTTTATTTACCTTGTAGTTATTTCAAAGAATATGTAAGCTGTAGATGTGTACACAAAGCAGGTGGAGAAACCAATCCTTCTACATTCTCCAAAATGTCAAGCCAGTAATCATAAAACAGCAAAAATAAGGCTGCTGATTATGTCTTATATATTTTGTGCAAGCAAACAAGCCTTTATCTTTTTATCCAGTACTGCGAGCTGCTCCCACCAGACATGAAGGACTACCATGTACAGACCAGGCAAAAGACAAGGATGAAAAAGATATGATTTGAGAAATATCAAAGATCATGAAAAATAGAGGAGATCATTAAAAAAAATTAAATCATAATGATAACAGAAATCACCCAAATGGCCCTGATCAAAAGTTTCCCTCCCCTGGAATGTTTGGCCTTGGTACAGATGCACAAGGTGCAACACACACAGGCTAAAATGACAATTAAAGCCTAATATCTCACATCAGTGGCTTTTTAAATTGCAGTTAGTATCAGTGTATAGTCAATGATTTTGTTAGCTCTCACGTGGATGCACTAAGGAGGCTAGATACTGAGCCATAGGAGCAGAAAATAACTATCAAAAAACCTGCATAAAAAAGTATTGAAACTTTATAAAGATAGAAGAGGATATGAAAAGATATCCAAAGCCTTGAATATGCCAGTCAGTACTGTTGAATCACTTATTAAGAAGTGTAAAAATCGGGGATCTCTTGATACCAAGCCAAGATCAGGTAGACCAAGAAAGTTTGCAGCCACAACTGCCAGAAGAATTGTTTGGGATGTAAATAAATACTCACAGGTAACCTCAGGAGAAATACAGGCTGCTCTTGAAAAAGATGGTGTGGTTGATTTGAGGAGCACAATACAACAATAATTGAACAAAAATGAGCTGCATGGTCAAGTTGCCAGAAAGAAGCCTTTAGTGCGCCAATGCCCCAAAAAAACCCAGTGAGGCATGACTAGGTGTTGTCGAGCATATTGTAACTGGGAATTTTTTGTGGCATCGGCTGTGCAGCATGTGTACATCCTGGCTGCTGCCTCTGCAGCTAAAGAGGGTAGCTGTTTTATAAACAGATAAGACAAAATTTGTTATGTTGCAATTTACAGTCCTTAGATGCAGTGGCTGCATTATTTTTTATTTATTTATTTTTTAATAGAAGAAAAAAAACCCGTTGACAGGCCTCTACTGGTCATAAGACACATCCGGCATTTGCCCAGTGGGCCGGTGCTTTCTTTCTTTCTTTCTTTTCTTTCTTTCTTTCTTTTCTTTCTTTCTTTCTTTCTTTCTTTCTCTTTCTTTTTCTTTTTCTCTTTCTATCTCTCTGTATTTCTTTCCTTCTCCTTCTCTCTCTCTCTTTCTTTCTTTCTTTCTTTCTTTCTTTCTTTCTTTCTTTCTTTCTCTCTTTCTAAACGCCCCTCTCTCTGACTCCTGGTTCTCTCCTTCTCTTTCTTTCTTTCTTTCTTTCTTTCTTTTTCTTTCTTTCTTTCTCTCTCTCTCTCTCTCTTTCTTTCTTTTTTTCTCTCTCTCTCTTTCTTTCTAAACGTCCGTCTCTCTGACTCCTGGTTCTCTCCTTCTCTTTCTTTCTTTCTTTTTCTCTCTCTCTCTAACATTAGTCAGAGTGCAAGAAGGAAAACTTTTCTTGATCAAACGAATTTGCGGCCAGTGTATGCAGTTACCGTGCAGAAATTACATTAATTTTCAAATCGAATGTTAAAAGCAAAAGACAATTTTTGAACAACATTTGTCCATTCATCGAATGTTCAAAGAATTTTCGTACGGCTAGTCTTACATATATTCTTGTCCAAAAATCTACATGTGTATGGCCAGCTTAAGGTGACAACTATGTCTGCCTCCAATAATACAATGGAGGGGTGATGCAGCCACCCAGGGGCAAGAAGTGTGTTATTTGCAGGATCATAAGATGAAAATAAAGCAAAAAGAAGTGTGGAAAAAGAAAACAAATGCAGCCACCACACCGAGAACTAGTAAGCTGCAACATATTACATTTTTGGTTTTGGGTTTAGATACTCTGTAATTACTGGTTCTGCTGCCTGTACCTCTAATCTTCACTCTCTTGCTACACCAGCTCTGCTATTATTTCAGAAATGGATGTTTATTATTTTGTTTATTCCATTTTTTTCTTTAGTAAATACACAATATTTATAGCTTTTACCTGTCTATTGTGCTTTTGTTGTGCCTGGCTGTGTCACCTTTGTTATGATGTAGTAAAGTAATTCCCCAATTTGTTGTCAGGCTGGATGGTCTAAGTGTTGCTCCCTAAACTGCATGCTTTTATACTCCTCTGATTCCATCTAATGTACACGTTTGCTCAGTCATTACATGTCTGTTCCCAAACACTCAGTAGGACGCCTGCCCAGGCCTTACTTTGTATTGTTATTGGCAACAATGGAGGTGTGATCTCAATTATCCAAAATGTGCCATCACAACATGAATCCTGAATCTGTCATCAGAGCCACTCTCCTCCCTCCTGCCGAATGTTTGCACAAAAAGGTTCCCTCACAGAACTCTTTCCTAATTCCTTGTGGTTTTATGACAATTGTCTCTATCTGATATTTGCTCATAATAAACTCCATGGCTGCTGAACTAGGTTGTCGTGGTAAATGTAATCACTTTCCCGCTGCCCTATAGCAGAAATACTACTACAGGGCGGTAGGGGTGCACAAAATCACATATATATACGTGATTTTGTTTTACCGGGTAGGGGCATGTGATTTTGTTTTACCGGGTAGGGGGCATGCACAAGCCAGGCCCTACCTGCTCCACAATTTGCGGCCATGGCTGTCAATCACCGGATCTAGTAGCAATTTTGGAAAACCAGGGAACTCTGGACACGGACTTGAGGAAAACAAGTATATTTATTAAAACAGCGCTGAGTGACCCAGCCAGGCTCATGCCTGCAAAGCCCAGTGAGTTGCATCCACCTCTTACAAACGTATATACCAATGATTACGTCACAATGCATATATTCCCTCTTTCACTTTCTATACATTCAAAAGACTTTCTAAACTCTGCAGAATATAACCTTGAATAGCAGCTGCAGATGAAGGTACTAGCTACAGACCGGTACACATTACTCACAGGATATACGGGAGCCATACAAAGCAGTGTGCTTACAGCGTAAAGCACAGACACAGCACACACTGAAACAGCACACAATTAACCCTTTGATTGCCCCAGATGTTAACCCCTTCCTGCCCAGTGTCATTAGTACAGAGTTAGTGTTTTTTATTAGCACTGCTCACTGTATTGGTGTCACTGGGGATGTCAGCTAGTCACCCCCTGCCCAGTGTCAGAATGCCCCCCGCAGTCCCACAGTCCCGCTATAAGTCGCTGATCGCCGCCATTACTAGTATATTTAAAAAAAAAATTCCAGTATATATACCGCCATTTGTAGACGCTATAACTTTCACATAATCAATTAATTTACACGTATTGAGATTTTTTTTAGCAAAGACATGGAGAAGAATACATTTTGGCCTAAATTTATGACGAAATGTGTTTTTTTACATTTTCTATTGGATATGTTTAATAGCAAAATGTCAAAAATATTGTTAATTTATTTTGTCAAAATTGGCAGTCTTTTTATATCGCAAAAAATAAAAAACGCAGAAGCGATCAAATACCACCAAAAGAAAGCTCTATTTGTGGGGAAAAAAAGGACATACATTTCATTTGAGTGCAGTGTTGCATGACAGTGCAATTGTCAGTTAAAATAATGCAGCGCTGCAGATGGCCAAAATTGGCAGTCTTTTTTTTTATAGCGCAAAAAATAAAAAAAGCAGAGGCGATCAAATACCACTGAAAGAAAGCTCTATTTGTGGGGAAAAAGGACATAAATTTCATTTGACTGCAGCACTGCATGACCCGCACAATTGTCAGTTAAAGTAACACAGCGCAGCATCGCAAAAAAATGGCCTGGTCAGGAAGGGGGGGGGGGGAATCCTCTGGAGGGAAAGTGGTTAATGTAGCACTACCTCTGTAGGGGCCACTGAATGACAGGTGTCCCCAGTGGTTGCCCTGATCTTGTAAGCCTCTTGACACCTCTGACACTCTGGGTTCAGACATACTTCAATGAGATAGACAATGATGCAAAGAGACACAGTTACTTTAGTGACACCTCTATATTAATTTGTTCAAAGAAGAATAATAGTGCATTATCCAAGGTTTATTGTAGGAGTGAAAGAATATTAAAAACATACTCACAGACGAAGCATGTATCTAAAAAGCATAGAAAAATGACAATGACCACAACTGCAGGCAAAGTGTTCTCACTGTCAGTGCGGTCAAATGGCTGACGCATTTCGGGGACGAATCCCTTTCCTCAGAGCTGATGACCAACCTCTGATGCTGATGTATGATGAATGGAAAGTGGGAGCCTTGCTGTTGATGCCTCATTTGACCGCACTGACACTGACAGTGAGAACACCTTGCCTGCCGTTGTGGCCATTGTCATTTTTCTATGCTTTTTAGATACATGCTTCGTCTGTGAGTATGTTTTTAATATTCTTTCACTCCTACAATAAACCTTGGATAATGCACTAGGTGTGTGCGCCACCTGTTTTCTCTCTATGAAGAGCCACTTGCATCTGAGAATACTGAATAAACTGTAGTGACCTCTCCCAAAGGTAGCAAGGAAAGTCTCTAGGATCCTTAAGGCTAGCACTCACTGTGTCCTGAGTACTGTAAAGCCTCCAGGAGGGGTTCCCTTACACCTTCTGTTCAATACCACCTGGAGTTAGTAACTTGTAGCAGGACGAAGAGTGGTATGGGTGCCTGTGGTGGGTCTGGACCCAGAAGATCATCTGGAGATGGTCTGGATAA